AGTTTTTTTTTAAATAACTAAAAAAATCATAAATGGTCCCTGTGGTGTGAAATGACAAAAATGCCCCTCAATTAACGGACAAAATTTTACGGAGCTAGCAATAAGGACCAGTCGTCAAAAGTTTTGAAAACACAGGGACCATCTATGAGATTTTTAAACCACAGGGACTAAACTTCAGATTTTAGGTAACCACAGGAACCATTTATAATGTTTTTTCTATTTTCTATAAAGAAAATAGTAATGATAAGTCAATCTACAAGCTAATCTAAAAGTAAAAATAGATACAGTGTCATAGAAAAGAAAATAGGTAAAATATAAGATTAAAAGGAGTGGGTGCGGGAGCACCTATAGTTTTGCCACCCATGCAACACACGGTCTATTGAGTGTGGTTTGAACAGTGCTCCTTCCATCCACGGTTTTTTACTGCCGCACTCCTTGGTTAATTTTTTGGGCTGGTTAAAGATTATATTGGGCTACAAAACCCACGACTAAAGCAAATTAACATTAGTATTTTTTTTTATTTTGTATTATTTCTAGATAATGAATAAAATATAAAAAGGATATAATTCTAATTTGAAGTTTTTATTTAAATTACATTTTCTAACAAAATTACAACACCACACCTAGTAATGTAATGAGTTTTTAGTTTTAATTAATGAAATCTTTTGTTTTTAATTAAAACTAAATTTTTTAATTATTTTTAAAAAATGTGACATCATTTATTGGGTGTGGTATCAAACCACACTTTTGTGTACATGCTTATGATTTACCTACGTGTGACAAAATAAAAAGTGTGACACGACTTCATTAAATGTACTAAATCTTTTTTGACATGAAACAATTGATTTGTAGTATAATTTTGTATTTTTTGTTCTCGTCTCAAGTATTTAATATTATTTCATTTTTTTTAATATATCTTGATTTGTTTAGCATCACTCATCGACAAGTGGAATGTAAAACAAGCAAAAACTATAAAATTGAGTAATAATAATCTTTTAATAAGATAAAAAAAAAAATTCTTTAACGAGTGTTTCATATGATGAAAAAATACGTTTATATGGGATTATGTGTTTGTTTTGGTTATATAGTTGCCGGTCGTAAAGAATATGAGAATAGTATTTATTTAGTATAACTAGTTTATAACCCGTGAGAACCACGGTTATAAAATTAATGAAACCTTTATTTTAAAAAATCAAAATTATTAATTAACTATTTTAAATAAATATTACTTTAGAGATATATTTTTTTTTAGTTATATAAAATTATAATCGTTGATTTTAATAAATACATGAAGTTATATCATTTTATAATCTGTATTCATTTTATTTTATTTTTCAATCTAATATTATTAATTTAAAATGAAGAATCAATTATTTATTTAGTGTAATTAGAATGAGAAATTTAAAAATTAAAATTTGAAATGGATAATCAATTATTAATTTAATTAATGTAATCAAAGTGGACATTTAAAATTTGAAATGTATAATTAAAAGGTTGATAAGTGGCATGATAGATGATATATAGCATTAATGAGGAGTTTTAATTGTATACCACTTGTCAATAGGAGATTAAACCTATTCTTTTATTAGAATAGAGATTTAATTTGTCGAAAATACGTTTAATGAAATAATTTAAAATGATTGTTAGAGTTCTTAATTTTTTTTTTGTCCGATGCATTTGGTGATGAATTCAAGCCATGTGAAATCATATTTAATACATGTAACATATTTTCTCAAACATTCCATGCATGTTAATATAATAAATTTGTTCATTGTTTCAGGTAAAGCACCACTAACATTCAAGTCCGTATAAATTTTATGACTTATGAATTGGTTAACAATTGTACTTGATCAGCACATTACCAAAGCTCAAGCATGTAAACTTTAGGCATTTTTTTTTTTTTTTTTTTAATTTTTTGTAAACATAAAGATCGTGATATTTTCATATATCTAATTTCTTCACTACTTACAAGTTACAACCCGTATTTGGCTTGTCTATACAGAGAATACATGTTATCTAATGCTAATTAAACTTAAAAGTCAATATACACATAATTATTCTATCAACATATCATCTCTTCTGCCGATTGCTCAGCCAGCAGTCTTTGAAGCTCGCTCGGTCTGCATGGTATAACCACGGCACCTTCATAACTAAACCCAAACTCTTCAGCAGCCCGTTCCAGTAGTTTTACAAATGAAGCTCTTTCAAGATATGCCACAGGAACAACAAACCTCCTCTCCTCATGTTCATTCACTGCTATCACTGCAAAGTGCCCTTCTTTCACATCTTTAATAGTTCTAGCAAAAACCCTCCTCTGTAACCTCTTCACCATCACAGAAATCCCAATCTTTTTCGACATATTGCACTCTGAATATATGATAAAATGATATCTTTTAGTCTCTAGTGATCAGGTTAACAGTACGACTAGTACTTATACTCTTTGGAGTCACAATATAAACATGGCATGCATGTGTGCACGTATACACTATGTCGACTCCGTGTATGTATGTGCACGTGCCGAAACGGAAAAATGGAAATTTACCACGAATTTGTGGAGCACGATTGATGCACATGGTGGGTTCCTGGTTTAGGTAAGTTCCCTTCACCGGCTAATTAATCCGAAAAAGGTTAGTATCTTTTCGTACGTACCACTTGAGTGGTAAGGTGGGGTTGCAGGATCTATAACAAGTGTTATGTTATGCCACCGACTCTAAAACCTCTTATGATTAACGTTTCTGTATCTAGACCTAAAACACAATATTGGTGAAATATTTGTTCAATTATTTGTAGGTCCATGTGGTTTATGAAATATCACAAATTAAGTTTTTTGCTAATTTATTTTGATACATATGCTACTTACGGTTTCGAAAACTTGAATGAATAGTCTTTAGCAATTAGTATGAAATTTGTGAACATGGGTAACTATAGAGGTTACTTCTCTTATTTTTTTAGTGCGAGAGTAATTTGGTCTATGAGGTTTGTGACCATGGGTAATTATAGAGAATATTTATGTAATTTTGTCAATATTTTATGTTGGTGAGTTTGTGCAATGATATCTTCATACCTCAATTTTCTAAAGTTTCGTGTTTATCGTCAATAGTATATATAATTTGATTTCTTTAAATAACTTTCGTTTTTAACCTAAAAATACTATTTTTTATGTGTTTATTTTTATATATGTGTCGATATAAATTAAAGGTGGTCAATGTTTCGATGTGAATTTAGAACTTTTGTTTTGTTATTTTTTTTAAGAAAAAAACTTGCTTTTTTTTAATGCACATCTTGGTTTAAATTCGAGTTTGTTTATGTTTCGACGTAATATTTTTTACATTTTCGTGTTTTATTTTATGTACGTTTTCAACGTGTGAATTTGATCACATATAATAATTTTTGTTTAGGGATGAACATTTGGGTCGGGGAACCGGCTGGAACCGGTACCGGAATCGGAACCCAATGGAACAGGTCGGGCCGGGACTAGGACGATATTCTTGTGGATTTTTGGAACCGGAAACCGGTAGAACCGGCAAAAACCAGAACCATATGTTGCTATTTCTTGATAACCGGTTCCAACATTGAAGACACGCCAAGAACCGGTAGGAATTGGGAACCGGCATTCCGGTCCAGTTCTTAATTTCGGCCGACTTCGGTTTCTGGGCCGGGTCTAGTTCGGGCCGATTGCAGCCCAGGTCGGTTCCTTTGCTCATCCCTACGTTGTTCGCTAACTTTAAAAAATGCATTATATTCGAATTTGTCTATGTTTCAACATAATTTGTTTTTTATATTGTCATGCTTCATTTTATGTACGTTTCCTACGTATGAATCTTTCATTTGTTAACTAAAAAACTAATTTTTACGTGTTAATTTTTATGAATATGTCGTTATCAAATTCAAGATGGTTAACGTGTCAACATCAATTTAGAACATTTGTTCATTAGTTTTAAAAAAACTTGTGTTTTTTATATACATGTAGTTATAAATTCGAGTTTGTTTACGTTTCGATGTAATTTTTTTTTTAATGTTTTCGTAGCTGTTTTGATGAAGATGCTTAGGGTTTTTTTTTTTTTTTTTTTTTTTTTTTTTTTTTTTTTTTTTTTTTTTTTAACATTTTGACGTAACATTTATCAGTACAATCATCAAAATTCAATTTACAAAATTTAATTCATTTAATTACGCTTTTTATTACTACGTGAGATCTCGGTGCGTTGCTGACCACTCTGATGCAGGCTTCCTCAAATGAGCACTCCAGATTGCACGATGCAAAAAATTTACAAAGTTAGGTTAGAAAGCGTTATCGGGGGTGAGACATTGGTATTGCTCTCCGATGCCTAAGTTAGATGTCATCTTTCGGGTTAGCTTTTGAGTAGATTGCTAAAGATTGCTTACCCTTTTTGGAGAGACCGAGCTTCGTTTTATAGTTGAGGCTTTAACCACTCCATGATCTTTTCTTTCGGGCTTTGCTTTGGTCCTCAAGTTGTAAGGGTAAGACCCTTTTAATAAAATATACTTGCATGTTCCATGTTTCTTAGGGTACTGCTTTATAGGTTATGCACAAAAGGTAGGAAGATTCCTGGTGTACGTGGTCGAAATATCTTGATGTGCTGAATACCAATCTATACTTGTTTTTTGGTTAAGGATTTTCTTAAGATGGGGTTATTTGGCCGACCTGGCTTTACTTAGGTTGGCACCTATACCTCAATTAGCCCCAGCCTAATTGTTGTAAACTTTTCCCAAATGGTTTATGATAATTGGGCTTGAAAAGTGTTGTTAAATCTACTTCTTTAATCAAACATTGGGTAAAGTATTGCACGCGCCTTGACATCTGTGTTTCTAGCTACTTGATCGTATTTTTGCAGACGGTTGGCTTTCCTGCTTCTTTTTCCATAAATACTTGTCACATTCATCTATCAGTTTTTCTTTGATACATTTTCCCTTTGTTCTATTTTCTCTTTCGTGCCCCGATTCTCTCTTTTGCTTAGACTAAGAACATGTCTCGTTCGATAATGCTTGTGGTTCATTCTTCTGTTACTCATGAACGTCTTGACCAGATTTCCACGAAATATCATCTTGTCGAGGAAGACAGAGTCGTTCTCCCTAGTTCTATGGTGGTTATTGATTGTCTGCCATCAAGTATAGTTGGTTTTTATCTCTATTACTTCGAGGTTGGCCTTTGTGTTCCCCCTTGTTCTTTCTTTGGTTCCATCATTGAGTTGTATAGAGTCCATACTTGTCAGTTGAAGACCAATTCTATTTTGAAAGTTGTTTGTTTCGAGTTGCTTTTTCATGCCTCTCTTGTTGTTCCTACTATCGATTTGTTTCAGTACTTCTTTTGCATCTGTAGCAATGACGCTTAGTATTAATTTTTTTTTTCCAGGGGGAGAAGTTTTATTGAGGACCTCCCTAAATCCATCAAGAACTGGAAGAATGAATCGATTTTGTTAAATGCATCTCAGTTTCCTTATCGTAAAGGATTTCATACTCTTGGTATAATTATTGATCAGAAGCCCGATATGACTCCTGATTTAAGTCAAGACATAGATAAGATATGCCGCTTGAATGTTATGATGAAAAAATTTCCTACGGCCGTATTGGGTCAGGCCGGTATGAGCCATTATATGTTGCACATGGGTGTGGTTCACTCAATGTTAATTCGAGGCCCACGTACTCCTTTATTTTGTTGCTAACTGTTTATTTATTTTTGCCTTAATAGTTTAATTGCTTCATTTGCAGATGGAAGTCAGTTACTCTTCCTTTTGTCTGAGTTTGTTGAGGGTAAGATTTTAGCTCTTAATCTTGGTTCTGATGATTTCAATCTTCCTATTCTTGATGAAAACTTTGATGGTAGCTGGACTGAGGGCAGTATTAACAAGGAATCAGAGTCCTTGTTCAGAGTTCATGAATTGTATGATGACGATACGGGTGAGAAAACTCTAAATGTTATCACCATCTTGTTATTGTTTTTTGGGATGATGGTGAAGGTGAAAGTGGAGAACAGACGCTTGTTCTTTGTAAGAGGGGTAGGGATTCAAAATTGCTTCTATAGCTCTTGCGACTGTTCTATCTGTTGGCGAGGGTAGTAGTGGTAGAACTATAAAGAGATATTGCTCCTTGGATCCTGGTGCTTTCGGTTCTTTTAATGATAGTATTGGTGTGGGGTGGCCCTGATGGGATTTAGGTAAAACAAATAAACTTAAAACCCTTAAGTTCACATGCAACCTAAAGGATCTATGTTTTCACTATTGAACCTATAACTATGAACATCAAATAAGAAACCCTAAGAACCCTGGGTAATTTTTGAAAATTAGAAATTAGGGTTTAGGATTAAATACCTTAATTGTTATTGTAGTAAATAACAATGATTCTTCAAGAGTAAATATCTTGAAAGCAAGCACCATAAGTGTCGTGCCTCTAATGGAATCACACCCAAGCTAGCAAGAAGATAACGTAAGAGAGGGGAGATGGGAGGATTAAAATTTCGAGTATCCCTTATGGAATTAGAGTGGCCAAAAATGAAGGTCTTAGGGTCCTTTATATATGTTGGATTAGTGTCTAAGTCCATAACTATTTTTGTATGTACTTGACCCGATGGTGCATGGTCCTTTTGGGTTGCCTTCACCAAAGCAACTTGATTGGAGAAATAAATAAAGAGAGAAAGGTTATTATGATTTATTAATATGTTATAAGAATAATATATTAAAGGAGAAATCATATTTGTTTAATTAATATTGGTCAATAATTAATTAAGAATTAATTTTGTGATCAAGTGTAATTAATTAAACTAGAGGGGCTGATTTGTAATTATGTGATAGTTACAAAATAAGGTAATAGGGTGAACGAATTTAAGGTGATAAGGCCTTAGAATTCGACTATGATAAGGATTCAAGGATTATCTTATGGGTTGCTTTGTGGATAAGCAACTAGATAAGGATAATGACTGAAACCCTATCTCTACACCTATATAAAGACCCTAAGGCCTTAGAATTCGTGTACTTGTTCCCAAGGAGTCCTAAGGACGAATTCTAACCTCTCTCCTCTCTCTTTATACCTTCTCCATTTGCTCTTGGTGTTTGTAAGCCATTAGAGGAGTGACACTTGTGACTCTAAGCATTCCAAAGTCAATTCAAGGAGATTTGGGATTGTTATTGCTACATAACAATCAAGGTATGATCTTAAACCTATTCATATTTAATATGATTATATGCTAGAATTAGGGTTTATAGTCTTGGATTCAAAGCATGTACAATAGAGAAACCTAGATCCAAGCATTAGGGTTTGTATGAGCACATAGGATGTCTTATGACCAAAACCCATCAGTGGTATCAGAGCCATTGGTTTGGTTTCAATTGTATGAACTTGATATATTAGGGTTTATTGCCAATAAACCCTAAGAGGCTAGGATTTTTTGAGATTAGGGTTTGCAAACCCTAATTTGCAAGAGTTTGAATAAGATCTTCAAATCCTTTCCTTAAACCCTTAAATTTCGAAATCTAGGGTTTGTTATAATCCCTTGATTTTCGAAATTTGCCTCCTCCCCAAGATAAGATCCTAATTTTTAGGGATTTGGATTATCCCATATCTTGTAATTATCCTCTAATTGTTATATATGGTAATTCAAGATCTTGCATTATCCATCCATATTTTCGAAATCTATATAGATATTTAAGGGATTAGGATAACTTAAATGTATAAATGGTAATTATCCTCATTATTTAGATAATCCCTTATGATTTAATAATTAAATTAATAGTCTAATTCAAGATAATTATTAAATCAAGAGTTTTAATATTTAAAATTTTAATTTAAATGTCATAAATTCGAAATTTTAAGATAGATTAAAACTAAATTGTTTTGAAATGTTTCAAAACTTGCCCTCAAGTTTTGGAATTTAAAAGTTGATTAAAAGTTTAATTAGGATGTTAAATTCTAAAACCCTAGTATTGTTTTGAAAAGTTCAAATACACCCTTATGGTTTTATTAATTAATTAAGGAGTATAATTAAAAGAGATTTAATAAATCCATAAAAGTTTAGGTTAACCATTTAATTGAATTAAAAGTGTAATTGTTAAAGTTAACCACATAGTATTTTAAAAGTATAAAATGCACCCTATACTATATATATAACATTAAAAGTCTAACATTATATATATGTATGAGTAAAAGTCAGTCTTACCGTTAGTAGGCCTCATTCACGAAGCTGGTCTATAAGGGGTGTTTAAGGAAATTGCCTATAAAATGGCGATTGAATGGGTATCCACTCTTACCCACCGCACTCTTGACTAGTGGAGGGTCGTTAGCCGAACGGGTAGGATAGGACGAAACCTTCCATTATAAGTATAATGAAATACAAAGTAACTAAATGTTTTTCTAATTCCCAATCTTAGTTACTTAGGCAAAAGTGAATTGATGCAATTCCATGAAATTACACTTTGTGCCCTTGCGAAGACGTTAGTGGAGCGTGTGTGGTTTACCGGCACACTAAATGGTTCTAAGCAAAGGTTGCAAAGGGTGACTCAATGTTTGTCATAGTTCGGTGGAGCGTGTGTGGTTTACCGGCACATCGAATGGTGATGTAACATGTGAGGGCACCATGTAAGTTTGCATGGTTATTCACACCCGCTTTGTGATCCTCGGCATCCCAGTCACAAACAAGAGGGGCATATCGAGATTTAAACATGCCATTGAAAGTTCAATGAATCTCAAAGGATCTAGGAGTTTTCATAGATTTAAAACTTAAATTTCTTTTTCGTTTTTCATGGTGGAAATTAGTGAATCGTCATTCACTTACCTTCAAATATTCTGCAACTAGATTACGGCATCCCTTTTCTAGGTTGTAGCATATTGTGTTGGGTCCTAGGCTTAGTATCTCATTTGGGTGATTTACTAAGGACTCAATCGATCAACTAACTTGAATTTGTTTTCTCCCGTTTTGTAGATGTCGAAGTTCGACAACTGGTCTTCCCAAATCCCGTGGAACAAGCATTCCACATGAAGATGGTATTCCATGATTCGATCGAGGAACAAGAAATCATGCTTCACTTCCTCCTCCTCCTCCAATTGTTCTCCCTAACCCACAAGATCAAAATTGAAAGGTTCAATATCACTAAGCCCTATTGGAAGAAACATGAAGAGGTAAATCCGTGTGTGCCCACGTTCTAGGAATGAAATCACACATCGATAGGTTGATTATGTGGGTGTGTCATTCCCGAATGAGTTGGCTGTAAATTGGGTTTTGCAGTCACTTCCTGAATCATATAATGAGTTCAAAAGAAAGTATTATATGATGGATCATGACGACAACCTCATTGACCTAACCTACATGCTCATTGCTGCTGAATCAGAAATGATTTGGCGAAGCAATGGAGCGTATTTTTGGGAAGTCAACCGACCATGCTTCCAGGACGTTCTAGGAGAACCGACCTGCGTTTGCTGCCAAGAGAAAGGGCATTGGATAGAAGTCTGCCCCAAGAGCCTGAAAATTCCAAAGATGGGAGAGTCAAAGAGTATGACTGCGCTTCAGGTAAAATCCACTATCTAACTCGTTAAGTTCCTATTCATTGATTCAATACATGATGTGATAAGATTGCATTTGAATGTTTTGCAGGATCGGTGAAAAGAAAGGAAGCTTGATAAGAGAGCAAGATGAATCTAATCACAAGAGATGGATCTCGATCGCATGGACTTGAAGATTGGATTTTGAGCTTAGATAGTTATGATAGAGTTGTTAGAAATTTTCCTTTTACATAGTTTTCAATAGATTTTGCATTGTAAGGACAAATGTTTTTCCGCTGCTTTTATAAATAAAATAAATTTTGTTTGACTTATTTATTTATTTGTTTACTTCCTTGCAATGAAATCGTTATGAAAATTGATGTTTGCATATTTCTACAACGAATGGATATGATTCTTAGTTATGTTATTTATGGAAATGTCGAGAATTTACCAAATAGGGAGAGTTTCTCATCGCCCAAAGTTTCAATTGGACTGAAATTTGGAATCACGCAACTTGGTTGCATGATGAATGAGAAATTTCATATTTGGAAATTAGACAATTCGTTGACAAAGTGTCAAGTGAAGGACTAGGAGATCGAGTACACAAAGTTGTGTGTTGATCAAGTTCACCATAAGAGTAACAAAGATATTTCATGATTTACTAAAGGCTTAGTAAATATGATTACACTTACAAGATTAAGTGTAATTCTGAATTGATTAAAGGGTTTAGATCAATAGTAGAACGAATAAGAAGAATCAAGTAGGCAGAAAATAAAAGTTTCTCCATTCTAAGAAGAAGGGAGAGTAGCTTTTATGCTTTATAATGGGTCTTAATGATTAAGAACCATATCTCAATTGATCCTCTAAGTAAGTCTTAGTACAATTGTATGTTTAAGAAGAGGAATCAAGGATTGAAGAAATGGTTAAATCAAGAAGTCTATCATACTTCGTTCCAATAACAAGTCTTAAAGTTAAGATTGTGGCAATGAGTGAAAAGTATTAAAGGTTTATAACATTCATAAAATGTGGAAAATTGTGATGTCTTGAATAAGACAAAGACCAACTAGGACCAATTTATGAAGTGTTTTGATAAAAGCTACACTAACTCTTGAATATTTGGTTGTCAACAAATGTTTATTGACAAGAGAATCTTATATGTCAAGGAGTCAGTGGGAGTCTTAATGGTCTTGAAAAGTTTCAAGAACAAATCAAATAAACCTTATCGATCATCACTAGCACACGAGTTGAGTTTACAACCTATCGTGTTGACGATATTTTGATTCTGTGCTGTTCCAATTGAGTTAATTATGCATGTGAGTCCTATGAGTACTCATTTTGAACGCATAAAAGGCAAAGCACCTTGATCAATGAAAGGTACATTGATAGGAAAAGGTGAGATGCTTAACTACTTGGAAGACGTGGTGGGCAGCTGTGCTACCATAAGGCAAGAAATCAAGATTAAAAAGTTCGGTCCATATGAGTTTGAATTTGTCGTAAACTTTGGTTTTAACAAATTCACATGGATAGGAACAAATACACCATTTAAATCTAAGTGTCATAAGATTTCCTCCTTCATGAAAATGATTGT